CTGTCAGTATTACCGTCATTCTGGGAGGGAAGCCGTGTTCAAGAGATGCAGTCAGATACTTAGCCGACGTGACAACCGTTCTATTGAACAGGTGCTGCGACCTGTCGCATGCATCACTGATGCAAAAGTTGGCGGTCTGTTTTTTAATGCTCTGAGAACAAAAGCTTACTAATGAACCCATTCAATGAAACAGATCCGCAAGTGCAACTGAAAAGTGGAATAAAATGAGGTGATTCGCTGTTTAATCAACATGCCAGCCTGAAGAATTAGGTTTAGAAAGAGGAAATTCGCTTTTGGTGTTTTCAGCAACCTGCCGAAAATCTCAACAGAAAAACTAACATGTTTTTTCGTTAAACTCGCTGTAGTTTAACTTACCGAGTTCTGCTATACGGCATAGAGATTCTCTTTCTAATGAAAAAAACAAGAATGACTACTGAACAGGGAACACAGCGGAAACGTCGATGTAGATTACAAAGCGAAATATCTGTCCACTTCAGATGAATGATTTCAGTAGAATAAGAAATTAAAAAAAAGTTCATCCCCTTCGATAAATTAGTTAGCACAGATCTAGCAGCCCAGTTTGCAAACGCATTACATGGAAATTTATTCTGGATACACGTGCTCCATGAAGCTAAAATGTAAAATGAATCTCCAAAGGAGAAGCAGATGTAAGGTGAAGGGCAATTTTTTAATCTATAATGCTCATATGGAAGTCTCATAAGAAAAGCGTTGAAAATCTGAAAGTGCATCGTTCATCATCACAGAGAATAAGATTGTTGATGCAACTAATTCAAAGCAATGATCACAACGAAAAACATCATATATCTGGAAGCTGCAAAATATAATCAGAACATTTTGTTCCTGTTCAACTGAACCTTTGGATCGTTAGTCGAGACGGTTGCTCAGAAGATTTTCGGTTTGCTGGAGTTAACTTCTAGGTCCACCGTCGAGATCACGCTACACATCTATCGAGTTAGTGCCAGTATGCCACAGGCGGAGTCGCTCAGCGTACTGGAGATCTGCAACGAATAATACTGGGTACGTACAGCTAAGTAGAATGGTAAATCCCTTGCTACTGTTTGGGAGGATGTTCCTCCGAATCACATAATTCACCAGCATGCTAAACAACAGAGGTGAAGGCACCTCTCCTAGGCGCACTACACTGTTGATGTTAAACCAGTCCGTCAACGACCAGGTTTCTGCTCTGATGGCGCTCTTAGTATCTTTATACAGCGATTTCAGCAGATTGACGACCTTCTGCGGTACGCCATAGTCTCGCAGTATACAAGGACTGACGGTTTATCAACGAGTCGAGGAATACCGCATCATAGGGTGTTGGAAGCTCTTTCCCTGTTCTATTCTTCTTTAATACGGCGATGTTATCCACACATGTTAATCCAGTTCGGAACTTTGTTTGATTTGATCGAAGCAATTCGTCAACTACGTTTTTCAGTCTTCGCGTGAATACTTTTTCCAGCACAGGCAGAATCGTTATTACACGCTAGTTGGCGTAATCAGAATTCCCACGTTTCAGTATGGGAATGAACGCGCCCTGCTTCCAGTTTTCAAGGATTTCTGACTTCTGCCAGATGCCTTAAAAGACCAGATGGGTCCAGTTCAGCAGAGTTCCGCCTACGCACCTTAGAATTTACGCACTAATCTTGCCATTCCCACCGGATTTCGAGCTTCGACAGAGATCAGCATTTCAAATTTCAACTCTAACGGAGCAGCAGATGTTTAGCTTCTGCCGATCTTCGAAACCTACCTCATCAACCAGAGCCAGCCAGATTGGGAACCCTTCGAAGTGTTCAGCCCATATCCACCAATGGCTATCACAATTTGAAAGGGGCTCATTGGAGTTTCTGTGAATCAGACAAGTTAGGGGTAATATTTTCCGCCACTGGTGATGATGTTGACTTACATGCATACTTACTGTACAACATCTTCTGGTTCATCTTCGAAACCGCCTGTTGTGCGCTTCGAGTTTCGTCCCGTGTCGCTTGTCACAGAGGTAAGTTCTGTTGAGTGCTTTCGTGAGATACCGATACTCCCGCTTATTCGTCTCCTCATGGCTTTGTAAAAACTGCTGCTTCGCAGCGTTTCTTCTTTGGCGAAGGGTGAGGGTTTCCGCCGACACCCACGGAAGCTTAGTCATTTTCCTTACACTGAGTATATTTGCTGCGGCACCGAAAATACCCCATTTGAGCTCTTGGTATCACAACTTAGAGTCATGGCAGGTCAAGTCTTTGAGAGCAGCGAATTTGCTGTTGATATCATCTTTGAACGCCACGCAAATTCCTGGATCTTTAAATTTGATGGTGTCGAATCTGGCCTTTGTTCCTTTCTGTGCTGTTCTATGGGACGTAGTCAACTGGAGGTACAGCTTTGCGACTACCATGAAGTGGTCCAAGCCAGTGCCAGCTGCGCGTGGTGTTCGGGTATCATGAAGGGCGCTTTGCCACTTCCTGCTGGCCAATATTTGGTCCAGCTAGCTTCTGAAGCGGTCACCTGGCACTGTCTACGTCAGCTGATGGATTTTAGAGTGAGGAATCAAAGCACCGCCATAGAATAAATGTCTAACAGCCACAGACCGTTGTCATTCAGCATCCCGCAGACATCTAGGCCTATCACATAATGTCAATTGGAATTGTCTCCGCTTACCTGCGCATTCATGCCACAGGTTAAGGTCGACAATTGCTGACGTGGAAAAGAACCGACAACTGCATGTAAACGTGCGTAAAACTCATATTTCCTTTGATCTCCGCGACACTGGTTGGGATGGGGGTGTTACACAACTACAACGTTGATCTTCACGTGCTTTGTTTACAAATCGGCAAAGAAGCATCCGATCAGTAGCGCACTCAACGGAGACCATGGCATTCACTGTTCATGTTGACAGCAACACTGCCACTCTTAACTGGCGTCAGTAAACTTGGTTCCCAGACCAGTGAAGCTGCCATCCGTTTTCCAGGCGATTTTTTCACTGGTTAGGGATGTGAGTTTCTGAGATCGCAAGGAGGTCGAGGTGGTACAGCTCAGTTGTACGGATGATGTCATCCAGCTTGCTGTCTGCGTTTAGCGTTCGCACGTTGTAGCAGGGAATACGGATCTTCTCCCTGTTGATGTAGATTGAATGGAGGTCAGATTTCTTGATGTTAAACGTTCTGATCTGTAGACGGACACCATTCATCGCAAAAGCGTCGCGTAACCAGGTTACTTATCTAAGCGAAAGCGCTAACTGACTTCTCGCGGCGGCGTACAACCGAACAATCATAGATATCTAGCAATAACTGATACCTTCACACATGTGATGGGGTTTGTTGCAGTTCACTGAGGTTGCAATACTAAGATCAGATACGAAAACATTTTCCATAATTGGCTGCAAATCTTCATAAGCTACAATTAATAACATTAACCGGATCTCGTTCCTTTTTCTTTTATAGCTGTTTGCCAGGTGTAAGGCTTGCTTAGGATTTAGAACAGTTAATTGAAAGAGTTGCGAAAGCCACTGTGGCCCTTTCGACTATATAACTGCAAGGCGATTACAGAACATAACAGATTCAACAGTTATATAACTACACGTCTATGATTAATTACGTAATAAGAAGTAAAAACGTGAAAATCTGGCAGGTGAAAAATTTTTCTGAAGGAAATTCCGATTCATGTCATTGCTAAAGGAATCACTCACTTGCACCTGATTGACCATGTCCATGTCCTTTGTTCCTGTGTTGTGTGCGATTCTGTTACAGGCTTTAATACTGTTTCCAATTAAGCAATGACTGGTCACCTGTAGCCCCTGCATAAGTACATTAGTTCTTGTCATTTGCGTTGTGCAACATGATCAGCGAAACGTCGTTTGCTCTCTTTTACCCTAACACAACGTCTTTACTTCATATGGGTCTTCTTATTTCGTTACTTCGTAACCTGCACCTGTTCAAACCTCAGCGTTCACTTCCAGCTTCCATCGATCGCTGCTGAGTCTTAGAGTTTCAGTAAACATACCGGAGAAACGGATGTTTAAATAATTTGTCGTTCAAGAAATTTCTTTAGATTGATTATCGAGGAACCTACGGCAAGGTCATATCGATGTTTACAAACCTCGGTTGCTTGAATCACTTTTGGCATCGGAAACTCGTCGTTACAGAGATCCCGCCATAACGGTCATTATGCGTCGATGAAGAAGCAAGTTCACATGTTGCACGTACCTGCAGTGGTGGGCTCGATCAGGCTTGATGCTGAAGCACTTCGCGCACTGATAGACAACTTGTCCTTGCTTCAGCTTCAGCAGCTGCAGGTTCTTTACGGTGGCATTACCCTTCGGAATCGCACCCTGAACATGTAGAACTCATCGATTAAAATTCGTCACTGGTCAACAACGACCGGCGAATACCGGATCGGTCAGCATTGTCTTAATGTGACTTGCGTACGCCAAAACCAGCAGCAGGTGGAACAATGTTGCGTTAATCACCGTGTATAAAATGCGGTCTTTGTCCGACCATATCAGAATCGAAACGACGCAGAACTCTCCGTAAGCCAGCAGCAACCTGTCATAGCAACGCATTACGTAAAGAAACGTTTAGTGGCTGACTTACCACGTAACGGTAGCGCAGGCGATACCACAGCCGTCCCTAACACACCACTTGCGACCACAGCATTGCGTGTCGTATTCAACCGAATGTCTCCCCATCGTTGCATACAACACAGGGAGTACTTTTCGCTCCCATACTTAAAAACGACTGTCTTCAAATTTTCAAAACTGTATCTATTTACTGCAGAACTTCAAATTATACATGAAATAAAACATAATTCATAAATTAACCGATTGACCGAAACTATAAAACTTAGCTCCGTCTTGTAAACATCTACGCAAAAAAGTGAATCGGAGTACATTTAACTGTACACCAATAGCCTATAGGCAAAAAGAAATGCTTGTGCCGTTGAACAGATACGACTGCGCGGTGTTGAGTAAAATTATTTAAAAAAATCGTAATTACAAAGCCGTTTCTTGCAACCTCAGAAATTAGAAATATTACTCTCCAGTGAAAACGACTGTTGCCTCAACTTCTTTCCAAATGATATAACCATGAAGCTTGGAAAAGAGCATTATACCACTTTAACATTACCTCAAAACTGTTTCCAAAGAGTACCTCGAAACAAAGTAGTAATACCTACTTGCATATGGAGAGGTCGGTTACTAACAGTCAAGTCTTGCAGCTATCTGTCTGACATGGCAAGCCTGTGCAACTATCTCATACAAACAGTGTAAATAAACTTCATAAGTCTTTCGGACGCTCGAGTAAGTCAAATAACGAATGATTCCTCCAAGACCAGATTTCACGGCGCACTGCACCGCTCCAATGTCATTAATTACTTGGGAGGGCATTTAAGCAGGCCACAGCTCCGTTATATTTGAATACCTGGATAGGAACAATTTGTGATATTTGTACGGTAGCATGGGAGGAGTACCAGCTTCAGAAAAATTGTTCGTGTTGGGCACGAGGTGGCTCCTGTGAACAAAATGATGCGAGATACACCTGCCACTGCAGGTGTTAAAATAT